CGGGAAGCAGGAAAGAGAAGGAGCCTCGTCCTGGCCCCTGCCAGTCCCCGTAACTTGGGAAGGGACCGGTGGTCCTGGTCAGCACCGGGGCGGCCCAGAAGCCGCGGCGTGACCACACTGTGCACCATTCCCGCCGGGGCGCTCCAGGAAGGGCAGGGCAGGGTGGGAATGAGCACAGGGGCCAGGTGAAGCGTGTGCGTGGATCAGGCCACGCGAGGCCCCTGGGGCATGGAGGCAGCAGCAGGCGTGGACGAGAGAAGACCAGGACAGCTGCGGGGTCCTCCTCCACCCTTCCACGAGGACTCGGGCCTGGGCAGGGGTGGCATTGTTGAGCAACACCTGCGTCAAGGGGAAGTGACTGGCGGCATCCCTTGGGGATGTGTACCTCACTGGCCACAGCTGAGGACAGTCTGCTCTTGGTGACCGCATGGCAGCGGAGGCGTCCTGTGGAGGTGACGAGGCCCGGTGTGTGCTCGTGCGGCGCGTACGCCGGGGAGGGCACCCAGACCTAGAAAGGCGAGGGGCCTGGCCACAGCACGCCAGGGGGCTCTCGGAGCGACCCTCACCCTGCTGAGTAGGGGCCTGGAGCCTCATGCCAGCTCGGGACGGGCAACACTAACCCCAGCCTGCTAGAAATGAGGGGCTGGTGGGGCCCGCAAGACTGCAGAGGCGCCCACATGGGCGGGCTTTCCAGAGCAAGTGCCGTGAGCCAACGTGGCCAGCTGCCCCAGGCCTGCCTGGGCCGAGGGAGTCCCCGCCCCTGGAATTAGCAGCATCTGCCCAGTCCGGCAGCGCTGGTGGGGGCAGGGCTGCATGCTCTGGCTGGTCCTGGCAGCTGGACCTCGGCCAGAGGGGACCAGGGGCTCTCAACTCAGCGCCTTTGGGCCTGGGCAGCTGCGGCCGAGTAGCCATGCCTCTGAGTGAGGGGCAGCCCAAGGGCATGGCTGGGGAGGGGTGGCACCTGCCAGACACCAGGGCCCCTCCCTGTGGCCAGAGTCCACGCTGGGACACCGGGGGAGGCAGCAGGCCTTGGCCTGCACGCTACGTGTGACAGCTGCCCTGGTGTCCCCGGGCCCCTGAGGATGGCCTGGCCGTCGGCTGAAGTGTGGGTGCCCGCCCTGTCTCCCCACCCAGCCCAGGGCTCAGGCAGGACAGAGCAGACCATGGCAGGCCCCTGAGGCCCGGCGGGAAGCCCCCTGGGATGCTCCTGAGAAACTCGCTGCCCTGGCCGTGGTCCGGGCCTGGAGCTTGGGAGTGGCGGCGCAGAGGAGGCAGGCGGTGGGGCTCTGGTGCAGGTGGCAGCAGGAGGGCCGGGTGGGCCCTGGGCGCAGCCTGGACGGGGCGGGCTGGGCAGCCGGGGACGGCTGTGCTAGCCGGGCTGTAGGATGAGGAGGGCGCCTGCAGGCACAGCTGGCACCTGCCGCGGCTCCCCCAGGTGGCGCAGGGCGCCCTCTC